AAGTGCTGCCAGTGATGTCCCAACACGTGCCTCCCGCGCGCTTCTGTCGGGCAGAACCCAGACGTGTAACTGTGCTCGCAGGCAGGGACGGGGGCATTCATTCCTCCTGTAACCCTTGGTTTCTGGTCACTGTCCACCCTCTGAGTCCCCCCAGCCTGCGGCTCCCTGAGGGCCGGAAATGCACCACTCACATCTCTAGGGCCCGGAGCTTAGCGGGTCCACGGAAGAGAATCCCACTTAGACAGGCGTCCTTTCTTCTCTGTCCACTCCCCTTTCTCAACAGCTGGGCTGCACCCACAGCCCACTGCAGACAGCCTTCCGGCCACAGTGGACTGCACCACAGCGGACCCCGGGAACTGACACTGCAGCTTAAATGGGCCACCACTGGTGCCCAGGTTACAAGGCCCCGCCCCCGGCCCTGGCCTGTCTCTTCCACTCCCCCCTCACCCTCTGTCCCCCACACCCACCAGGCCCCTCTCTGTGCCTGGAGCCCCATGTCCCCGATTTCTCGTGAACACCTCCCTCCGGCCATGTGCACCCTGAGTTCACAGCTGGGTTTCCTCCTAATCACAGTGAGAAGCCATCCAGGGGACTTGGGCAGCAGAGTCGCATGACTTGGGTTGTATCTTTAACATATTGTCCGGCTGCCTTGTGGAGGGTCAGCTGTGGGGCATGGCGGGGCATGGGGGAGCAGGGGTCTGAGGTAACAGCTCTAAGGCGTTTAGAGCCGGGTGCATAGTAAGCGCTCGAAACTGCTAGCTGGTATTGGTCCCTCTGCTGGGGAGACAGTCCCTCTTATCTTGAAGCGAAGTTGTAGATGTCAAAACCATGGCCCAGCGTGGACGTGGTTTGCCCCAAGCGACCGAGCTGCTCGGCTCTGGGACCGGACAGAATGCCCAGAAACACTGCATTCTCCCAGGACTCCTGGCTTCTCTCTAGTGGAAAGTCAGGCACGAATGACTTAATGCCACCGAGGACACGTCTCACAGCAGAAGAGACTTCTGGTCTAGGAGCTCCGAAGGGGGAGAGGGCTCTCCCAGTGTGGGGTGACCAGCAAGGCTTCCCAGTGCCACGGGCTGGGCTTCAGGGATCCCCCCACGGGAACGTGGGCGGTTGTCTCTGGCCAGGGGCCGCTCCCAGAGCGAGAGGAGGCAGGAGGGAGCCTCAGCCACAAGGGGGAGCCCTTGGACTTTCTTGGAGGGAGTAGGCGTGGCGTGGGGGGGGAGGGGAGACGCTGGCTGCCGTCAGGGGAAACTAACTGGCCAGGTCCGCTGGGTGCCCCGGGTGGGGGCCTGGGGCGGGGCAGGGGGCGGGGGTCCCAGAAGCAGTCTCCATGCCCCACGGCTGCCAGTGCAGGAGCTTCACGGCCAACATCCGTAGACAGACAGGCCTGGAGGAGTGCATCCTGTCCTGCCACCTGCCTAGAGGGAGACCTCAGGCAAGCGACTTGGCCTTCCCATGCCTCAGTTTCCTCACTGTGAAGGGAAGAGCACCCCCTTCGGCCCCAAGCCCGATTCTCAAGTCCTCCTTGGCCTCCCACGTGTGGGTGTCGCTGCGGGCACTGAGGCAGCAGGGCTCTGCTCACCAGAGCAGCAGCCGGATCGAAGCCCCCTGCCGGCAGCCTTCCTGGAGCTGCCCTGGAGGGTCAGGGGCCCCCTCCGGGCACCCGCCCCTGGCCGTCCTCCCGGGGCTTCTCCCGCCTCAGCCACTGCACCGTGTGCTCTGGGGCACAGGGTAGGCAGCTTCATCTCTGAATCCCCACTTGGTTGGCAAAGGGTGGGTGCTCCATAAATGCCCGATGAGCTAATGCTGAACAGAACTTTCCCGCAGGCCGGGAACAGCCACCTGGGCACTGCAGCCGGGGTCGTGCGGGGCAGGGGGGCAGCCCAGGGCTTGGACCTGTGGTCCCACTAGACTGGCACAGGCCTGTGTGGAGGGGCTCCCTGCGGCCTCCACCTCCTGTGAGCTTTCTGGGGACCAGCGCTCTCCTCGCGCGCTGCTGGGCCAGGGCTCCTGGAAGGGCCGCCCCAGCCTGGAGCGCCCACTGCACAGCTTGGCCTGTACCCCGGGGAGGGCTATTGGCCAAGGGAGATGTGCGGGGTTGTGTTTTCAGGGGGTCCCTGGCTGCAGCGGGGAGGACAGCTGGGCCCAGGTCGGGGGGAGAACTGCTTGCTCACAGGAATGCAGTCACACCTCGGTACACATCAGCTTCAGAACTTGTCACACCTGGAACCCATCACTTTTGATGAGAAAGAATGTTTTACACTCGGCACTTGCTCGCCACTCGGAGCGAATTAGCGACGAGCGCCGAGGTACCACTGTACTTAGGACGGCCCGTGGGCCCCGGGAATGCGGGGGTCTCTAGCTCAGGTGTGCAATGATGCCTTCAGGGTTAGGAGAAGCCTCAGTGCCCAACACACTCGTGGGGCTGACGCTGAGTTCGAGGCGCACGTGGCGGCCAGGGCAGCCTCCGTGATGGTGGGTGACTGGCAACAGGACTCCCAAGCAGAAGGGTGGGGAGCGTGCCCCGGGGTCAGGGGGTGAAGGACTTGGAGTCCCGGCTGGAGCAGGGGAACGGGCAGGCCCCAGGACACCCATGCCCCTGTTCCTTGGATGTAGGGGCGCCAGGCAGAGGCCCTGGTCACAAGCTGAGCCAGCCCTGTGGGCAGCCCCTTGTCCTACTTGCCTGGGAAGAAACAAAGCGCCCGAACTGTGGGAACACCCTCCAAGCCCTGCTCCCAGGTGACACTCCGGCAGCCAGGGCACAAAGCCTGCCTTGCACCCCGCCACCTGTCCCAGGACAAGGATGCAAGCTGGCCTGAAGCTCAGGACCCCAAGGGAGATAGGTCAGGGGCTGGAAACCGCCTCCCCAGGCACGGCCAGCGTCAGCCCACGATCACCTGTGCGGACGGGCTCAGGTGCGGGAGGGCATCTGCCGGAGAAGCAGGAGCTCAGGCTGCTGAAGCCCAGCTGCGGGCGCTCACAGCGCGGCTCCAAGTCCGGTGGACGGAGGCCTGAGAGCAGGGAGAGGGCTTTGGGCCGCGGGACCCACCAGTGAGAAAGGACAGGCGAGGACAGCGTGGAAGTTCCGCCCCTTCTCCCCGCCCTGGGTGGGCCTCCATCCTCGGCCCTAAGGTTACCTCAAATGATCTGGGAGTTACCATCCTGGACTTCATTACGGGTCATCTGAGACCTTTTGGAGGAAGCAGAACTTAAATAAGAAGAGCTGGACGCCCAGGCTGGGCTTGGGGGACCTCTGTGATGTGGAACTAGGGTCATGCAGAATCAGGTCTCTTCCTCAGGCTTCAGGGCAAGAAGCAAGAATTGCCACCTGTCCCCCATCCACCCCCAGATCCATGACAGGTGCTCCTGTGTCTCCCCATTTCACAGACGAAGCAGCTGAGCTCTGGAACATTCCACATGTGCTCCCCGTGACAGGTAGCAGCCGCAGACCTGGCCTGGGTACCCGGCCTCGCAAGCCTCGCTGGCTTGGTGGGGCGGGCAGGCAGCCAGAGAAAGGCCCAAGGCCAAGCTCAGCGTGGCAGGCAGCGGAACAGCTCAGCTGACCCCTGAACAAGGGTTTGAACTGTGCGGGTCCCTTCATACGCCAACCTGTGCAGTTCAAGGGCCCCCTCTGCCCCTGGGAATCTGAGTACACACAGGGCCAGCTGTGGTTGCAGGGGCTCTTGGACTGCAGGGCAGGTCGCTGCCCTCCCCTCTGCCGGCATCATTCACGGGCCAAACTGTGAGAGAGAGAGGCTCTGACCCTGACTCGGGCCCTCCATGGCGAGCCGTGTCTCCTCTGTGCCTCAGGGGACCTGCCTTTACAGTGGGGATCCTGTCCTGGCCAAGAGGCTCGGTTGGAGCAGCATCCCATACATCAAAAGGCTGCAGGTTCGATTCCCAGTCAGGGCATATACCTAGGTTGTGGGTTTGATCTCTGGTTGGGGCACATACTAGGGGGCTACCAAAAGAGGTTTCTCTCTCTCTCTGAAAAATCAATAAGCAGCCTTGGCTGGTGTGGCTCAGTGGACCAAGTGCCGGTCTGCAAACCAAAGGGTTGCAGCTTCGATTCCCAGTCAGAGCACATGCCTGGGTTGCAGGCTTGGTCCCCAGAGGGGGGTACGTGAGAGTCACCCACATGTTGATGTTTCTCTCCCTACCTTCCTCTAAATATAAATATTTTTAAAAAATAAAAATTAAAAAATTAATAAGCATATACTTGGGTAAGGAGTAAAAATAAAAAGGGGGATCGAAGATGATCTCTTAGGGTTCAGGGGCAGCTCAAAGAGTTACTTGCATCCAGCAGGGCAGCAGCCAGTGCCCAAGGGCACAGTAAGTGTGGCTCTCAGGGTTGCTGAGTGTTGGGGACATGGACCCTGGAACCCATGGCAACTGTTGTGCCAAGGGGAGCAGGCCCTGCACTCACTAGGGCCCGGGCTCCCCGGGTTCCAGGGTGACCAGGGTCAAGACGCTAATCAGGACCTCGGCACCACATGAACACGGGCTTCTGTGAGTCGCGCGCATGGCGTGAGGCGTGTAGGGTCCTTGCCGCTTGGCTGAGCAGGTCCAGGCTGACCCGGCTACGTGGTGGGGCTGACACAGTGGGTTCTGCTTTCACGTTCAAATCAAGCTCCAAGCGGCTCGCTACCGCATGGTCCACAAAGAGGGGGTTAGAGGAAAAAGTTCTTCCTCCATGTGGTGCCAGAGACCCCCAAGGCTGGAGCTCCTTCGGTGAGCGCGGGCAGGAGCCCGCGCACCAGAGCACAGCCCAAGGAGGCGGCCCAGATGCAGCGCGCCCCCAGGGCCCCGGCGATGTTAGCTGTCTCTCAAGAGGCGCCCCTGTGGCGATGGTGGGTGGCATGGGGCCCGCGCACAGGGGACACTGCCTGAACGGGAAGTGGCCACTGCTTTAATTCCAGCCAGGACCTGACACACAGGGGCCACCCGCACGCGCCCTGCAGCATGACTGCTTACAAAAACAGATACGAAAGCAGCAGCAATTCTTTAGTGATCATGGAATAAATCTGACAATAATTACATGTGTTTAAGCATCTGGCATTATCTCCTAAGTCGCACCGAAGAATCTGGAAGCACTTGGTTTGGTCTCAGAGGGAAAACGGGAGGCAGGGAAGGGTCCAGCTGGGGCTGAAGGCCAGCCTCCCCATGCCTCACATTTCTGAGTCCGCGTACATCCCGTTGATTAAATAGTCCACCTGTGTGTAGTCCTTCTTCTTGTAGCTCTCGTAGGCTTGCAGGGCAAACAGAACCAAGACTGTGACAAAAAGGGTCACCCCGAGCAACAGCACGGCCAGGAGGGCACTTCTGTTCACTGGGGACAGGGGCAGGGGGTTGGTGGTGACCACCAGGTACTGGCCTTGGGTGCTGAGCTGGCACGAGTCAGTGGTTGGCATCTTAGGGTCCCCTGAGCTCCCGAGTGTTGGGCCGGTGGAAGCAGTACCACCTGCAGCCTCAGGCTGTACCTGCCCCGGTGTAGGGGGCGTGCCCGTGGCCCCGTGGGTAGATGGAGCAGGGCTTGGCGATGTCCTGGGGGACACAGGCTCCGCCTCAGGGGTCCCGCTGGTGTGAGGCACAGGAGCTGACACTGTGCTGGTAGCTGGCCCCTCAGCTTGTGCCTTGGTGGCTGTCACCACTGTGGTGGACACAGAAGCCACAGAAGAAAGGGTGGACCCTGAGGTTGTATTTGCGAGGGGCAGGGTGGGCCTACTTGCTGTGTCTGCCATGGGCTGGGTGGTCGACGCCTGGGTGGCAGGGGCTTGAGTGAACGCGCTGGGTGTTTGGGGACCCACGGAGGGCGTGGGGCTGGCTGTGGAGTGGCCGGGCATGCGCTCGGCAGGGCTCTGTGCGCCGCGGGGGCTGCTCGCGCTCGCTGAGGTGGCGGCAGCGGTCGGAGCGCTGGGGGCCGGTGGCGGCGGAGGTGCAGCTCTTGGCGACGTGCTGCTGCCGGGCGCCTGGGTGCGGGGGTTGCTGAGAGCGGCCGTGGAGGATGGAGCGGGTTGAGTGGACGCTGGGGAGGGCGGCGTGGACACCTTGGAGGCTGTGAGGCCAGGGCCACCTGCCACGGTTGCCACAGCATCTGCATCTGTCCTGAGTGTTCCCCCTGCTGTGACCGCAGGGGAGCTGTGGTTGGCCCCCAAAGTCCCTCTGGCTGATGTGACAGGAGAGAGTGTCATCATTCTTCCAGACGTTGTGTTAAAGATGCTCTTAGTTATTCCCCTGGATGCACTTTCGTTGCCTATGTTACCGTGTGTTGGGCTGAGGGTTGGGGACCCTTGAAGTTAGAAAGGGGAGAAAAAGATGCACTCGTGGGGCTGGCTCGCGGCTTCGCGGCGCCTACCTCCAGGGCCCAGGGAGTGCAGGGAGGGCACGTGAGCACAGCCCCCGGTCTCCGCACAGCCCGCAGCCCCCCACAGAGGCACCGGCACTTTGGCTGTGAAGCCGCTTTACCCTCTCTGAACCTCAAGCCCATGGAAGGCTTAAGAGCTTCACTTTTTGATCCAATTCCCAAAACAGCAGACAGAGCGGAAAAATCTCATGTTACAGGTGTGATTTACCATTAACCCCTCGAACACACCCAGCCTTGGAAAGCAGATGTACAGTGGCCCAGGTATTTCCACTGCAGAATTCTTGGCTCTGCAGCAGGAATTCCTGTCAGAGTAGAAGTACCACTAAGTATCTGCGGCCTGAATAGACGAACTCCCCAGCGAAGACTAGGTTTCTAGAAGGAAGGGGATTTTGCAGGGCCAAGCGGGCAACCCTGCCCGGGCACAGAGGCCTGGGCCCAGCCTGACGGCCCTTCCCAGCCTGGCCCGGGGCGTCCCGGCGCTCCCCACTCGCGGGCCTGGGCCTGCGGACGCCCTCGGCGTGCTGTGGGCCTGGCCGGCAGCCACTCGCGCCCTCACTCACCTGGACCCTGGGAGGCCACCAGGCTTCCGGATAAGGACACGGAGGAAAGGCAGGCGAGCATGAGGGCTGTCCACATCTTGTGGGTGAGCTGGGAGCGGGGCTGGGGGCGGTCCCTGAGGCTCCCTGCGGCGCTCGCAGGCTGCTGTCGCCACCCGCTCTTGGATGAGGATCTGTGGTCAAGAGAGAAGGCCTCTGGTCCGTGACACACAGCCTGGCCTGGCGCACGGTGCGGGGCTCTGCGCCCGTGCGTGGGGCTCTGGCAGGGTCTGATGCGCCACCGGAGCCCAGCGCTTCAACCAGGCCTGGCGCCAGGGGTTGCACGATGTGTCTCAGCCACGGTGGCCCGGTGAGCTGACCGGTGTCTGCCCTTGGTGGGTGCGCAGCATTTCCTGACCCACCCCCGCTCTGGGTCTGTCCCCGTGAGTGCCCACTGCCCCACGCAGAGCTCAGAGTTTGAAAGAGCAGCAGGGAGAGCCAAGGTATTTTCTGACACCAAGGTCAGCCAAGTCCGCCCCTCTCTCCCTTTCTCCCGTGGCCTGCAGGACACGGACCAGGCCCAGAGCACTTCTGTGCACCCTGTGACGGCTGGCCACATCCTCCACATGGGAGAGGCCACTCAGCCAGGCAGCCACCATCGCCACCTGTCCATCTAGCCACTGATCCATCATCGAGTATTCCAAGGCCTGACCACACACGAGGCCGCGCACTTAAGACAAAAGGATGGAAGCCACACAGTTCCCTCCTCCAGGGAGCCTGCCACTCTGTGGGGGACACAGAGAGAGGTCACTGCAGGTGACGGAACAGGGGCATGACTCAGTCCTGGGAGGCACGGGGGACGTGGCACCTGGCAGGACTTGAAGGCTGAGTTGTAGGCTGGTTCCCTGGGTGGCTGGGTGAGGGCGGGGAGGACTGGGTGCTGCAGGGGCCCCGAGGAGGCACTTAACTCAGGTGGCAGTGCCAGGGAAGGTTTCCTAGCAAAGTGACACCCGGGCCATGTTCTAAAAGGTGGATGGGACCCCCCTGCTGGGAGGCCAGCGGGTGAAAGCAGCAGATCACAGGGCCGGGGGACAGACAGTGCAGGGAGACCTGGGGTTGGACTAGAGCAGTGGGTGAGAGGCGGGGCGGGCGTGGAGGAGCCTGGAGCAGAGGCGAAGGGGGCCAGGGTGGGCAAGGGCAGGCTCGCGGGAGCCAGGACGCAGGCTCGCGGAACCTGGTGCAGAAGCCCAGCTGCCTGAGGGAGACGGTATGACGCAGAAACTTCCAGCGATGCCACCACAGCCGCGCCTCCCCGGTATGAGGGCAGCGCCCAGCCACAGCCGGCTTGCCGAGTGCACAGGGTGTCCCCACACCCGCCCCACGTCCCTCCCAAGGGTCGGCGGGGGGAGGTTCCTCACTACAGAGGTGCAATGGGGGGCTGAGGGGCCAGGTGGCCCCAAGTGCCCTGTCACTTCATGTTCTGCTGCTCCCGGCTGCACCCTGATCCTGTCCTCAGCCCTGTCCAATGGCCTGAGTCCCACAAGGCCACCTGGAAACCCAGGCCCTCCTTGGACAATAGCCCGGCCACACTCAGCCATGTTTAGTCCCATGACTAAGCAGTTGATTTGGGCATGGAACGCAGGCCTGCTGGGAGTCAAAGGGCAGGTGACAAGAATGGGGCTCCCAAGCATCTCTCCAAGGTCAGTGCTACCCGAAGACACCCTAGGCCTTAGGCCCTCCCACTGGACCCTCACGGCCAAGGTCCTGTGTGCACCGGGTGCCCTGGAAGGGAGCCTCAAGGACACTGAATGAAAAGGTGCTGGCCAGCCCCTTGCCCCCGTACGGACGCCGCCACTGCTCTCCGCGGTCCCGCAGCCAGGCCGGCTCCTGCCCCTCCATCAGCCAGAAAAGTCACAAATGAATCGCCTCCTAGCCTCCCCACACTGGCTCCGGCCCCCCGCCATGGCTTCCCAAAAGATCCTGATAACCCACAAAGCTGACCCTGCCTGCGGGGCTCAGCCTCGCCGCCCCTTCACAGCCCCAAAGCTCCTTCGCACGGCCACAGGGGCCTCTCGTGGGCACGTGAAACACCCGCTGTTCCCAGCCTGGCGCCCCGCTTAGCCATCAGCCCACGAAGGTGGCCCCTGTGAAGCATGAGGGGTAGTTCACAAGTGGCCACACAGCGGCTTCCTGCCTCCTGTGATCGGTGGGCACTACTGTAGGGTGGCCCCAGGACCGGAAAAACCCACAGGGCACAAAGCCTTCCAGAAGCCCAGCATGAACCCTGATGCCCTGACCCCCTTCCAAGAGTCACTAACTTGTATCTAGCTTCATCCTGCACATTCCTTCCAAAGTTGTCCGAAAAGGCTCCTGGCCCTCACAGGTTTAGAAAGTTACCTGGCCCTGCAAACCAGATTTGCACCTGTCTTCTAGAGAGGAAAAGCCTTCGTTGTTTCCAACGGAGCACGTTGGGGAGGGGTGGAGAGAGAAGCAGCCACCATCCTGAAGGCAAGAATCGAAAGGGGAAGGCCTCGGGCACAGGGGACTGCCCCGAGGGGCCGCAGCCGGGCTCTCCGCGAATGTGTTGCGGAGCTCGGGTCAGTCCCGGCTGCTGAAGGGCCCTGTGCCACCGCCTGCAGTGGGGCTCCACGGGGAGGGCGGGGAGATGATGCGCCAGGGGCTTCCTGGCTGCCCCCCGGGCCTCAGGCCCTCCGGTGTCCCCGCACTGCCAGTCTCCACAGCAGAACTGGCAAACATTTCCTGTGAAGAGCTAGACAGCAGGTATTTTGGACTTTGTGGGCCACACAGCCATGAAAGACGCGTACATGACAGGTGTGGCTGTGACCCAATTAAACTTTATCTCCAGACAAAGGTGGCAGGCGGACCCGGCCCACAGGCTGCAGTTATCAATTGCTGCTCCGGCAGTAAACCCCCGAGCCCGTGGGCGCGAGAGGCTGATTCGATGTGCTCAGTGGACTTCCTCCTTCCCGCCTCACCCCGGGACAGACGCGGACCATTTCCGTCTGGGTCCCGGGACGGTCTCTGGTGGGTCCCCTCCCAGGGCCCCCTCTGCGGCAAGGCATGTCGTTTACCCCCGCGTCGGTGAGGCGCTGTGCACCGGAGGGGCTCCCACAAGTATGATGCTTTTGTGACGCAGGCTGACAATCTTTGGCAGTGAGTGGCACGTGTCACGGAAACAGATGAGGACCACTGACAACCACTCAGTTCCCCCGTGCCCACCTACGGACCATCCTCCTGGTAGACCCTGGAAGGAAGAACCTCTGATGGGAAGAGCCACAGACTAGGCCCCACCTGCTTGCTGGAAGGCTCGGCCCTCTGCGCTTTGCCGTCCGTCCTTTTCCCTCGATGCTCCCTGAGCTTGCAGAGCCCCCTCAGGGTCCTCTCTGAGCTAACCTGTCACCAAGCAGGTGGCCTGGGCTCTCAGGGCCTCAGACACTCACCAGAGGCAGGTGCTCAGGGCGAGTTCCCAGGCCAGGCCATCTTCCCCCTTGGAGAGCTGTGGGCTTGGCACCGTGTGCCGGTCAGGTGAGGTCTGGCTGTGCAGGAGGCGAGGGCGGCTGCGAGGAGCACTCCCGGGCCACGGCATGCTTTGCGGCACACGTGGGACGCAGGCAGATGCTCCACTCTGCTAACAGTTGCATCTAGGTTTGAAAAGGAGCAAACACTGCTGGGAAAAGCACAGGGAAACCACCCAGTGAGGAGGGAGGCGCCCAATGAGCAGCGCTCGACAGACACCATCCTGGGGAAACGACACTCCGTGTGTCAGAGTGTTCAAGGTCTTGGCTTTTATTTATTTTTTTAATAAATTTTTTTATTGTTGTTCAATTACAGTTGTCTCTGTCTTCCCACCACCACTTCCCCCTGCCCATCCCCCCACCTCCCACCCTCGATCCTTCCCCTCTTTGGCTTTGTCCATGGGTCCTTTATACGTGTTCCTTGATGACCCTTCCCCGCCCCCCGCCGCCCTTCTGAATCAAAGTCCCAGCTTCGGATGAAGCACTTTCTACGGCCACCGCTTTTTCTACGGAAGCCATTGGACAGGCGTCTACGGACAGAGATCTACAAAGCTGTTCATCACGACATAACTTCTAATAGTAAAAAGTTGGAATGATTATGTAAAATATGGTCCCATCCATACATAAAATACCATCACAGCTGTTAAAAAACACAGATTTCTAATTATTGATGTGGGAAGATGCGCAGCGGGTAACATTAAGTGAAAAAAGGTCACACACAGTATACACACTGTGATCCTGCTTTTGTTTAAACAGGCCTATGTCAAGGGGTATAAATTCCAGAAAAATTCATACCAGAATGTTAATAACAGTTACCCCTGGCTAATAGATTTACAGGTCATTTTCATTTCCTACTTTGTATCTCTTTTTTTTTAAACAAGCTTGTCCCACTTTTGGAAAATACTTCTGAAAGCCTCCAATGAAAGGAATCAATGTCTGATTTTCCTCAAGTACTTTGAGCAACCAGACAGCGGAGGCCCCATGGATACAGTTTCACCTGTAAATTTTAATAATTTAGAGAAACGTCATGATTTACACAACAGGACATGCATCCTTCTAGGAGCCAACCCAAACTTAGAGGAACCCAGGAGTACGGCGGTAACACAAAGTTGGGCCGGCACAAATGCTCCTCTCACTGTTGCGTAGTTAATGGGAGCCCTGCACAGGAGGAAACTAGCCCCTCCTCCAGGGGTCAGCAGATAAGTGGTGCCCGAGGACCCTCATGGCCCACTCCCTAACACAAATGCCCACATGTGAGCACACATGTATCCATGCACAGGCACATGGAACATGGAGTTGCACTCACATGTACACACAGCTGCAGGCATAGCCATGCACACACAGATACACATGCTAGCACACAGCCACATGTGTGCATATGCATCATACCCATGCATGTGTGCAAAACCACCACACACAGTTACATACACAAAGCGAGTGCACACATGGAGCATCTCTACAGGGCTGCTTCAGGAAACTCCACGAGCTTCTCAGTTAACTTCTGCTGGATGCTGCTCCCTTCTGCTTAGTCCCTCCCGGCGGGGGGAGCTGGTGCTCACACCCACAGAGCCGGGAATGGGCCGCCATGCAGAGTCAAGAACAGGCCTTGTTGTGCTGTGACTTCATCTCTCTGGTATGGTCCTGCCTCCACTTTCCAACAGCATGTTCTAAATGTCAACACTCACTTGTGGGGACCTGTGCGAATCTTGTTGACTCACAATAGACAAGCCATTCACAAGTTCTAAAATAATAGTTTCCCCTGCAAAAGCTTCCATGAACCTTGTAAGAGGGTCTGGCCAGTTATTATCTGGAGACTAGACAGATCAAGGTCTCAGACTACAGTAAATGAAAAGGAAAGAGACCCGGGGCAGGAGGGGAATGAGCAGGGACGAATGAAGTCAGTATTCAGTGACAGACCAGGGAAGATGGAAAGGCAGATGAGGCTGGCGCTGGGAGTCCACCCTTTCCAGGAATCGGCTCCCACAGGTTCTGCAGAGGAGAGGCAGCACACCCAGGAGGCAGGCCATACCCCATCAAAAAGGCAGCAGGCTGTGGCCCTTCCTGTCCACTTCCTGATCCTGTTCAGGCCCTTGACCTTGTGATGCCTCTCAACATCTCCTGTCTCCAATTTCTTTTTACATTTTATTTATTTAATTTTAGAAAGATGGGGAGGGCGAAAGAGAGGGAGAGGATCATCCACCTGTGGTTGACTCTTGTGCGCCCCCAACCATGGACCTGGCCCGCAACCCAGGCCTGTGCCCTGACTGGGAATCAAACTGGTGACCCTTTGGTTTGCAGGCCAGTACTCAGTCCACTGAGCTCCACAAGCCAGGGCTTCCTGTCTCCAATTTCTTGAGTTCCCAACCTTGGCTCGATTTTAAACTCTTTTATGAACCTATTTTTGTTATATGCAGGACACTATCTTCAAGTTACATAAAATCAAACTGCAAACTGCTTAATTCCTTTTTCTGGCTTACACAGGTTCCTAAGACCCAACAAAGGAACCCTCAGGCTTGGCCGAAGACTACATGTGTCACCTCCCATGCCATCACTCTGGTAATATTCATCGGTAGCGACGTGACTCTAGTCCCTGCTCCAAGCTGGGGAACCCATACATACCAAGGAGTAGGGACTGTGAAAGCAAATTCAGAGCAGACCACAGGTACCTTCCCTGACACATCACCTGGCTGAACTTTGGCAGCAGAACCCGAGGAACACAGGCCGTGTATACAGACATTGTCCTGTGGTCCAAAGGATATGTGGCAAATGGCAACCTGGAGCAGAGGATATTGTCTCAATCATATTGCTTGCTTCGGGGTTTCTAGACGTTTTGGTGTCATAGTTAAATGACGATCAAGGGTCGTTTGTAGGGGCAATGTAGGCAAATTTGACACTACTTTGTGTTAGGCAAGCCTGGCATAGAAGTGGAAAAAGAAATCTGTATTCTAAATACTTTCCTCACCAATTTTATTGAAATTTTAGAGATGTTGCCTTTGGGGAGAAAATGAAATGTTATAGGCAAAATTTTAAATACGGTATTTATGTCTCACGGCTCCCCTGTCGATGTTGCCTCATGTTAGCCTAACAGTTAAACGCACACACTAAGCAGCCATCTAGACTCACTAGGGGGAAGAGGGGCAGGTAGAGGTAAAAGTACAAGCCCCTCCCAGGTAGAAAGGGCCTGAGGTAGGTCTGGGTCACCTAAAGGGCCCACCCTTCCGGGGCCCAGCCTTGCTCCTGGAGGATCTTTTAGGTCTCCACCCAAATGGGTGTGTCCCAACTTTCCCACCCTCTGCTCCCAAACTGGAACAACCCCAGCCTCCTCTTCTCTGGTTTGTGACCCCCTGCTTCCTACCTCTTGGGCCCCATCCGTGCCCCTTCGGAGTCTCGGCCCCCAACTGAGTCCTTCTGTTTCTTCCTCCCCTCCTATTCTTGCCAGTATAGCTGAAAAAGGGACCGCATACTGAACCTAACAAGTTCAGGGGAGGCCGGCAAGGTAACCACATGGGATGGTCTGAAATGAAAAATTCCTGACCAAGTGCGTACTCAGGTTCCAGGCTTACAGTTTCTTCGAAAAATTACCTTACGTGAGCCTGTCTATGGTCTTTTCACACCTAAAATAATTTACTGTCAGAACGTCAGTCTCCTCCTTCTGCAGACCCCTCAGGGCACACCCACCACACGGGAACCCAGACCCCTCCGGGTCATCTTGTTCCCTGAACACTATGTCTGTGTGCTGTGAATTACTAACTCTCTTGTACTCGTCAATGTAAAAGAAGCATGTGTCTGTCCGTTTTACTTTTCATTCAATCCCAGAGATTTCCCCCGCTTTGCCTTCTCCCGCCCCGGTAACCCGACCACGAATGAATTTCATGGAACTGTCGTTTAAGCTGCAAAGCTGCCCTTCTCCAGAGCATTTTCTCAATGTCTTGAGATTTTGCTTCCCAGCAACTGTCATCAGTTTGGCTCAAATAAACTCATAAAAACTCTTCCCCGCTTTGGACGTTTCTTACTGGACACCTCTATCCTCACCACCTGGCACTGTGTGCCCCCACTCCCGTTTTCCCCTGTCCCCCTCCTCTGCCTCTCGTGCCCCCATTCATCCTCCTGCCCCCACCTCCCTCTCTTAGCCCTGAGCCCCTCGGGAAGCCCTGACTACAGCATGCCCGAGGGCAGCGCGAGCCCCTTACCCGGGCGCGGCAGGCCTGCAGAGGCCGGGCGGCCCTCGGAAGGCGAAGGCGCCCGCGGTCCGGCGTGGAGACGTGGCGGGCAGCAGGGCAGAGCAGCCCGGAGCCAAAGTGCTCGGGACAGCCGCCCTAGGTCCGCCCCGCCCCGGCCGCCAGGAAGTGATGTCACTGGGAGGCGTGACGGGGGCGGGGCGGGGCAGCCTCTGCTGGGGCTGGGATCGGCTAGGCGGTGCCTGGCGCCTCCGGATGCGAGCCGGGAACGAGAGGCGTGGTTGCCAAGGCCCCGCCCACCGCAGGCGAGGCCCGGAGACGTCTCCCACGCGGCCGGAAGTGGCTATTTGGGACAGATCTTTGGCGGAAGAGGACGTTGCCTGGGCTCTGCTGGCTGGAAGTGGGCACCTTCCTGCAGCGACCAGAGTGCCGGTCCTGAGGCAGGGTCAGCTCAGGTGTACCCCAGTTGTTCACAGGGACCCGAGCCTGAGGGGGTGACCCTGCCATACGCCTGCCCTCCTCCCTCAGACTCGATCCAACCCCGGGGGGCCTACCTTGAGGGGAGGGGTGCTGGTAGTAACGTAGGGACCGCAGCTTACAATTTGCCAAGCCTTGCGCTTCGTGCAGTGATTTAATTACTGCAATAGTACTGTGAGCAGCTTAGCCTCCATTTTGCAGAAGCAGAAACTGAGACAAAATGTTTTATAATTGTCAGCGCTGGGATAACAGTGGGGAATTCGAGTGTAGCATTTCGCTTATTTCAAAGGTGCACAAGATGCACAAGAACAATGGACAGGGCCTCCTTAAGCCAGTAAACCTTTTACTAAAGAAGTTATGTGCCTGGGGCGTCACATAGTCACTACGGACATGACCTGCCCAGTTAGAAATTTATGATCGGATCACCCTGTGAGGTTCCTTTCCATAGAACCTCTTTTTCGTCCCCACGTGGGAGTGCACCAAAGGCCTTACTTTCAGACAGTTTTATAACCTGTCTTGGGGGTCCTCTGGCAGGAAACTAAACCAGACAGAAAACTGAGGGTGTGCAAAGACAGGATGAACTTAACCAGCTTTGAGCTCTGGGAACACCTGAAAAGCAATTTAGAGCTATCACCAGCCAGTTCAACCTTGCAGTTTTAAGTTGTGTAGAACTTAACCTACATAGATGAGTTTGCTGAGACCTAGGCCAGTGGGTAGGGTTTGTGAAGGTAAGATTCTTTTGCTTTGTGTTTGCTTTAATTTTCCAACTAGCTCAGACCTAACATGAGAAGTGTCATATCTGTGTTCACTTCACAAGTGAAAATACACTTAAATATCCAGTTGTAGTTCTGTACTTGCCTTCTTCAAAAATCGATGCCTCTGTGACTCTGCTTTCATTTCCTTCTAGGCAAAATCAGGACCTGGCTGATGTGACTCAGTGAATTGAGCGCCAGCCTGTAAACCTAAGGGTCGCCGGTTTGATTCCCAGCCAGAGCACATGCCTGGGTTTCGGGCCAGGTCCCTAGTTGGGCACGTGTGAGAGGCAACCAATCTATGTTTCTCTCACACATTGATGTTTCTCTCCCTTTCTTCCTCTCTTCCTCTCTCTCTAAAAATAGATAAATAAAATCTTTTTAAAAAATCGGGACTATTTTAGTTCCTAGGGCTACAATTACAAAGATAAGGCACAGTCTTTCTCCTCAAGGAGCTCATGGTCTAGAGCAAGGGTCTGCTGGCGTTTGCCTACTTTTGTAAATAAAGCTTTATTGGAATACAGTTACGCTGCCTCTTGTGTATGGTCTGGCAGCTTTTGCACTACAAGGGCAGAAGTGAGAAGTTGCAGCGTAGACAGTAAGGCTCTCAAAGTCTAAAATATTTACTACCTAGTCCTTTACAGAAAACGTTTGCCAACACCCAATCTAGGATGTTACTAGAAAATGGGTTTCAGACAACAGAGTAAATGTCTTGCTCAGATGGTCCAGGATACAGGAAAACACATTCTTTCACAGGGGAATCTAGTGCTTTTCAGTGGGTTGGGGTCACCTGGAACCTATGTCTATTGAGCACAGCTCTGGAAACTGCCTCGCTGTCTCTGTAGAGTATTATGAAGAGTTGAGCAGGGCGGGCCAGCTTCTGATGGCAGTGGATGAATTAAAGAAAAAGAAGGATCCACTTAAGTCTGTATGCTTTTGTCTCAGGGCACTGATCATCTGAGGTGCTTTCCATGCAGAAATAGCTAATAACAAACTCAAGGGAGAAGCGTCGCCACCGCCGCCACCTGCGGTCCCCTAAGCCATGCCGAAACACGAGTTCTCTGCAGACAGGACGTGTGAAGGCTGCTCTAATGCGGTCACTCGGGTCCTCAACAAGCTAGGAGGAATTCAGTTTGAGATCGACCTGCCCAACAAGAAGGTTTGCATTGACTCAGTACAGTGTGGACCCTCTGCTGGAGACCATGATGAAAATGGGGAAGACTGTTACCTATGTTGGCCCCGAATAGCGAGGGCCTGGACCTCTGGCCCGCAGGATGGACCAAAGTGGGCAGGACTCTGATCCTCTCCTGCCCTCCAGACAGATGGGAACCTGGCAATCCTGCTCAACGTGGGCAGTTCTGCAGAGACCCCTCACCTGCCCTGCTCCTCCCTAGCTTCCCTGCAATCAAGTCGAACTGCTTTTGTTGGGGGGGGGGGGGAAATGAAACAAAACCAAACTCAAAGCTTTGTCCTCTTGTAATCAAACAAAATGGCAGTTCGGCTGCCTGCTGCAATGAAGCCAGACTCGTGAGGCAGGTGCTGGCGCCAAAGGAGAGGTTTATTGAGGTGCTGCATAACCTGGGATAATGGTGGACTCCCGTCTCAAAGACCATGTCCTCTTCCAGCTTAAGCCTGCAGTTCTTACAGGGATAGAGAGGAAAGGGCTTTTTTTTTTCCTATCCAATAATCTTGCTAGCTTTTGGCACATCTGGGGCCCTATCCATTTGTTTTTCGAGCTTTTGGCCCACTGAATGTAAGAACCCCCCTGCGCCATCTTGGCCAGTGGGGGAGACTCCCCGGCAGTCCAACTGTCTATGGTAACACTCTTAGTTGTTAAATTACAATATTATTTGAATTTAAGTCCATGTAAGAGTCTGCCTATGAAAGGGCTCTGGAGTAACACTACCTGGCTTCAAATCCCGGCTCCTTCCCATTTTAGCTGAGTGCCAGGTGGCAAGAGGCTTAGACCAGACACTGTGCCTCAGTTTCTCCATGCGGTCGATTCTCGGTACTCACAGTAGTTTTGTTCAATGAAGTCTCCATGAGCACGGCCTTAGCGAATGCTGCCTCATGATTCCCAGGGGGAAAACAAAGCGAACCCTTCCCTCCATGCGCTACTCTTTATTGTCATTATTCATTGAAATTTTGTTTTATGCTCTGAACACAAAACTAAGAGCATTAAAATGGTAAGAATGAGGAAAAAATGGATAACTGGGGCAGATAGAAATATAATTCTGTGTACATTATTGGATTGGTCCTTCTCACTTATTTGTTTTGCAGATATACAATGAGACCTGTCAGGAAAAAGTCCAGCCATTGTTAATATAACAAGGATGGTTTTTGCGACACTGATGTAACCTGGCAGCCAAGGAGAGTGGACTGGAAGGTGCATGTGTGAACAACGATGACTTCACTGCACCAATTGGTGGGGGCGGTAGATGCCGTTGAGTGAGCATGCGTACTCTGCGGCCACATTCAAAATGACTGGGCTACTAGAGCAATGAACCTGCGTCAAATTCTGTGTTAAACTTTAACATTCCTCCGTGGAAACTATCCAGATGATTCAGGAGGCCACAGCGGTGGGCAGTTGGCGACTGGCAACTTCATCACGACAATGCACCTGCTTGTGCATCATGTCTCATGCAATAAATGTCTCTATTCTTCCTGTTACATGGCTGGACACCTTCTGGACAGATCTCATACGCTATGGATAGCTGGAAAAAATCTTAAAGACTATGAAACCAGGCTGCTATGGATTTACACAGATTTTTTTCTTTTAACTCATGTTTTTAAAAAGCATGTTTTAAACTTCCCACATTTTTAGTTAATTTAATGGAATTATTAAAGATATTTTATAACTTTTAAAAAACTTTTTATTTAAAAAGCTCTTTATTGAGGATTAATATACATACAGAAAAGTGTACGTATACGTTTACAGCTTGATGAGCTTTCACCAACTGAACCCCTTGTGTTCACTCAGAGAAGAAACAGAGCAGAACCGGCCTGTGGAGACCCCCTCACCTCCCTTCCAGCCCCCAAACAAGTCTGTGAAGATTCAGAGCAACTGAAACTCATTCATGGTGGGAACGCAAAATATTACAGCTACTTTGGAAAACAGCTTAACTCCTATAAAGTTAAATGCACTGTAATTGCACAGCCCGGCAACCCCACCCCTGAGTGTTCGCTCAGCGGAGGTGAAAGCATAGCCCACACAGAGGTCTGTCTGAAAACGTCTAGAGCAACTTTATGCATAGTCACCAGAAGCTGGAAACCCCCAAGTGACAATCCGTGGGGGAATGGATATATAAATTGTGGTACATCTATGTACCTACTACTCCGCCACGAAAAAGCACAGATTACTGGTACATTCACCAACACTGAAGAATCTCAAAGGCACTAAACTAAGAAAGAAACCAGACATAAGAGACAACGCACATATGATGCCATTACCATGACATTCATGAAAAGACAAAGGTATAGACAGAAATAAGTGGTCACCAGGGGTCAGGGGTGAGGGAAGAAGATGGAGGGGCATAGGCTTGCCAGATAAAACACAGGTTGATAGCCAGACAGCATGCCCTGGGGGAAAGAATTCAGAATATGTTTATTAAACTTACAGACAGCACTCGAGTGTCAACCAGTGTGTGCCGGCTTACTTTCGGCCCTTGGGTTAGCCCCACAGGGCCACCTTGGCCCGGGCTCTGTTTAGGGTGGCAGAGCAGAGATAGGTCTGATGGCAAAAGGGGGGCCCCAGGCAGCAAATACAGACACCGCAGGCTCATGGCTCCCCCGAGAAGTTCGGAGCCAATCTCAGGGGGACCCTCCCTCTCCCAAGGCCTCCGCGGACGAGAGTGGTGGTACTGCTGCACCTGTTCGTGTTTGTATTCCAGGAACCTGAGCAGCGTGGCTCAGGGGCTGAGA